AAACAAACATGCGAATCGATTGTACAATATGTATAAAAGTTAATAGTCGAGCAATGAAAAGTAGGAAAAGTACAAAGAGATTATTGCAACATGTTTGAAGACTTATTTTGCCAAAGGAAATGTAAAAAGAGATATAAACCATTACCTTTGGAAAAAGTATTTTATGTTATACAAATCTCGGAGGTCCAGGTTTTAAGTTCTTTTTTCACATTCCCTTTTTCATGTCGCATTGACAATTTACGAGAAAATGACAATTTTTTCTGAACTAAAAAGGAATAACAAAATGAAATAATAAATTTACGTGAATAAAGGGATAAATTTGAGGAGTAAATTGTAAGATCTAAAATGATTTTAAATTGTTAATTTGTGTTTAACGCGTGTTTGATAATGGTCACGAGTAGATATCACACACCAGGCAAATAATTAATTCGAAATTTAGATAGAGAAGTTCGCGTTTAATAGAAAGGAAGTTTCAAGAAGGGGAATTTTGATATTCGGATGGATGATCAAAGAGAAAGATTAAACTCAGGAGAAGTTGAGAGGTGCGATTCTTTGTTTATAGGAGGAGAGAGTATGCTTTGCTACGGTGAATTCGAGTTTGTACGACTAGTCCGATAATGGGAAGTACGAAATAGCTTTCCAGTAAATGAACACGCACTATACCTTGCATTCCACGTGGGACGACGCACGAGAATGTGCGATGAGAGGCATTCGCTTGAAAGAACAGATCGTTAACCACCTAATGCGATACCAGGGTTAACTCGCATGACCTCGACCAATCCTAGAAGAAATAACTTCTCCACAGCTGGTGCGATTTCATTTTCATCAATGGCTAATAGACTTTGATCTTTCATTCAGCTGAATCATTCGTAGGATTTCGACTCCGATTGAATGTTACTTCATAATGAATCCTTTCTCAATACTCTCAGATTTATTTTTGTTTTTTTTCTTTGTTTACAGAATAACATATCGTGTTTTACACGAGATTACATATATCTTTTTAAAGATATTAGACTTACTTTATTTAGACATTACTTTAAAGATTAAAGTAAACGCGAGCTAAATATAAAACGGTATTTAATATAATATTACAAAATATAGTACCCTTATAAAACGTATATTTTGGATAAATACTATCACTTGTAATATTCGAACGTTTTATCGTTAAAAATAATCTAAATATGATGTCGTAATAATAATTTCATCCTCGATGACGTTGAATTAGAATTTATTCCACGATATAACGTAAACGATATACCGTGAAACGTCGCGCGGACGGCGACATTATTCCTCGTTAATATTATTGTTGTTCGGCACTCGTCCATCCGTATCGATTAGGTAAATGTACTAACGCATCTACAACGAATGGATGTACCGATAGAGGAGATTTCGCTGGAATAGTTACGTTCTCCATCTCTTTCTGTGGTTATTACTCTTTGCAAGTTCATAAGCTCTTTCGAAGGATATGTTTTGTATCGAGAGAGTTTCGCGCGAAACTTTCATCATGGTCATCTCCATTACGAGCATATAAGATATCAACTAGATTAAATTGATAGTATCGAGCAGATTAAATCGATCGTGAATGGTCCTTTTATGCAATTTTCACGAACCATTTTAATTATATTAATTGCAAATACATCAACGTTTTAATATTACAATTAAGATTTCTCCTATACCGTTAATAAATATATACTTTTTAGAGTAAGATGAAGAAAAAAATGTAAGAAAAAAAAAAAACGATTGAATGACATTTATCGAAGGATTTTGTTCCGCCGATCGCGGTACTTCCGATGATTGCGAATTCACCACGTAGCTCTATGGAATCGAAGGGAACAAAATATTTGCGGATACCGAAAGAGCTCTAATCGTGGATTTTACGCGGTGCAATAGTTTTCATGCGACTGAACAGATCGTTAACCACGTGACATGGGGTATGCGGTTAACCTCAACCCCCTTTCTCTTCTATCTACGTTCTAGTTATTCTACACCTACCATTACCCGCTTACGATCTTGCGGCAGAGACCCAATCTAGCCACATGGAGCCGAATTGTATGTAACCATGTTGATTATTAATACTTCCCCCGGGATAAATTACATTGCACATCGACACGCCTAACGAGCTAAATTGCTATTGGAAATTAACCCAGTAGTACATAATCACTATAGAACCGCTTTGTCTTACCTTTATCTCGCGTATCAGTTTCCTATCGATATTATCGATATCATCTAATATTTGCTGTAATTTAGAAGATAATTGTAATGGTATCATGTCGACAAGTTAATTACTTATTTCGAGTATTGGAAGAAATGATCGTCGAAAAAAGAGAGTCTCGATTAATTAATATATTTTTCTCTCAACGTAATCGTATTATTGTACGACTGATGCTTTCTATACGTGTATACACGTGTATGGATATAATCAATGCGCGTGCTTGTGTGTGTGTATGGTCGCACAGGTTAGGATGACCGTGCAGCACGTGTCTGATAAAGTACATATCGTTACCACTGACAGGGCGATGCTAACGTTGATAGATGCACGGTTATGAGCCACTTTGTAACGACGATAGCCATCCATCCTATTCGCGATATACTTCATTTCGAAATGCATTACGATTTGAGACTCGGCATAGCAAATGAAATTAATGTTAAATACAAGTTAACGAACTCGCCTTTGATGACAAGAAATTTATTGAATATATTATATATATATATATGTCTCTCTTGTAACTTTAATTTCAAATAAGAGGATAATATTTTACCGGATCTATGCTAGCTGTGTTAAAAAAATAGAAAAATCGATATGTAACTAGGACACGCGTGCTTCTTCTTCGAATTTAAACTAAGAATCGCTCGAGATGGCGTTACGAAAGAAGAATTTAAGATTCTTTATGCGATGGGGGAAATTTTTTTTTTTTTTTTTGAGAATATCATTTCACGTGCTCGAATAATATGGAAGTGTATTCAAATTAAAGAGAAAGAAACGGAGATAGAGAGAGAAAATAAAAGTGGAAAATGCACTTCGCTTGGACGTACAAATAAAAAGCGGCAATAGTAGAAGTGATCTCTTTCTCTCTTTCTCTCAAACTCGTGAAAATATCCGAGCATGTTCGTTGCGTTGTTTCCCGCAGGAATCTGTTTATTGGTGGAAGGTTATTAAGCGAAAGTTTCGTCTGGAAAACTACATGTCCGTCGGTGTAATGTTCTTCTCTCGCATTCCTTGAATACTCCTTATAATACAATTCTCATGAAATTCATTTTATTTGAAATTCATTAAACCAATTACTTTCATAAGATTTCGTTTTACGTTATTATAGAAAAATCCGACCAAAGGAGTACATAAGTCCATAATATTTTATTTTAATATACAACGTTGTTGTATATTATTCATATATATCATTATTGTAAAGTTATTTGACGAAATCATTTGACCAAATCGAAGTATTCCGAGCACGAGTGAATCGTACGAAAAGTAATCAATAAAATTATTTTTATTAAATGACAATTCTCTATAACGTATAAAATGTAATATTACGTATACAAATAGGAAACGTAAAAAACAAATTTTAATATGTTACCGATGACATTCCAGAAAATTATTCGAAAACGTTAATTGACAATATCTAAATATTATTATATAAATGCGTGGCATACATCGTATGCAGAAATAAAAAGAGGAGAAAGAGATAAAAATAAAAAAATGATAAAATAATAGTAAAAGAAGAATAAAAATTAAATGGTTAAATCGACGATATGTATTTTCATGACAAAAAACTGACGGGATATATTTATATTTGATGTTTTCAATATATTGTCCAGGAAATGGATTGAAAATGAATCGATTAATATGCGAGAGTACATATTTCGAAACGGAGAAAATGAGGAAAACGGAGATAAAAAGTGAAACGAATAAATAGGAGAAGAGTGAACTGGAATGGTTGTATAGTTAGCGGAGAAACCCCGAGAACCAACAACATCGAGATTTCTAGGAGAATGTGCGGGTGATGCCATAGCGATTACCAAGCGAGTTAATGCCAAATGTTCGCATATATATGCGAACGGAGGGATAATACAGGATACATCGAGTGGCCGATCAGACACTCTCGTAAATAAACGGATAACGATAGCTCGTATCTGCCGGAAACAAGCAGACGTTTCCGCTCTGCGATCTCAAACACCTAAATCTTCTTTACGATAAATTAGATGACAACGGATAAGGAGTACATAATTTAACGTGGAGTTTCCAAATTTGACAACCCTCGGTTTATTATTTCCGTTTTGATATTTCATGAATATGATGAAGTATGATATTCGTTAGATTACGCATTATCATAATACAATATTCATTGTTCACGCGCGATACATAATATGTGTGATATTATTTAGTTATTTCTCTAAAATGTTTCTATATATATCGCGAATTTTGTACATTACGTCAACGTTGCTACGATTTTGATTCGAGGAAAAGTAAGAGAAAGTCTTGGAAAGCTTTTTCCTCGATTGGCTTTTGAGCAATTGGGTGAATCTTTTAGTTGAATGTAATAAGTTGGTCGATTCTTTCGAATCGCGAGCGTTAAACTTCCCTTTTGCTTGAAATGAGAAGGGATAAAAATGTTCTCTAACGTATCAAAACGATTCTCCTTTTAAAAAGACGACCGAGAATTACGAGGATTTTTGTTTGAAGACGATCGTAGAGCAGCGTAGGAATACGCTTGCGTTAGAATGAAATTCCAATCCCGGTGGTTGGTATGGTTCTCTTCCCCTCTTTCTTTCTTTCTCTCTCTCTCTCTCTCTCTCTCTCTCTCTCTCTCTCTTTCTATCGTTTCTCTTTTGTCCTTACCAGCTTGAAAGAATTTATTGGTATAATCGAATTTATTCTTTCGAGAGGAGAGAAGAGGATCGCTTGGAAAGTATCGAAACCGCGATATCCTTCACCCTTCTTTTACTTTTCCGTTTCCGTTTTCCTACCGATTCAGGAGGATCGAATGGAAAACCGTACTCACAGTGCACTTTCAGTTTCCATCGATCCTCTATGGCTGCTTCCGGTAATTTTGGATTCTCTGCACGACATGCGAGAAACTTGCCGTCATCCTCGATGGTTGGTATCAAATGGAGAACGCTTACGCTCGTACTTCCTTCCTGAAACTGAATATTTTTCGTTTAAACATTAAAAAGGAATTTAATCTAATAAGAAGTTTGAAAACCGCAACGCGTCCTATCGATCGTTATAATTACATTCCTTCTATTATAATCCGATTAACTTTTGGATAACATATTATAATACCTTTTCGTGATTTTAGTTTAATAATTTGAAACTTTTTATTCTTCTTTTTAAATTTATTTGCTATATTTCGATAAATACAATTACACAACTAATTTTTTAAATCATTATTTAATGTATAATAATATAATTGATCGATAAGCACGCGTATACAAGCATGACGTGTTTAGCTGTAACGTTAAGGATTCTTTGTTGAAACCTATTGTTTATATAGTAATGACCATTGTCTGTTTAATTCTGTACCAGCGATGAATATGCAAATACAAAAAGCACAATGAAAAGTTTACAATGTTTATACTTTCGATGCAATTTTAATTTTTGTTTGTGTAATAAATTGCATGTAGAGGTTCATTATTTTCATGGATAGAGAGTATGTGATTTGTTTTTTTCTTTTATACCGGAGCTCCTCATATATTTGTTTTTTTATTTACAAAATAACTTTTTATATATATATATATATATTTTAATTTAATGAAGAATAAAAATTGCTATTTTTTTTTTAATAATTTCTGAATAAACAACGGGCAACATTTTATTTGGTTCAGCTTGAATATTTTAGATAAAAATTTTCATAAAGCAATGTTTTTCTTTTAATTAAATGTATTGTTATAATTACATTAGCAGTAATTAGAGAATGTACACAAATATAAATAATTAAAGAAAATATTGAAAAAAAAAAAAATCATCCTTTTAATTCAAGAACAAATAACGATAATGATTACTAGTTGCAATGATAATAGAAAAATAGTTATTATACAGAATAATCATCCGTAAAAGGTAGCTTGGGATTGTTTATCGAGTAATTAGGGCAAAGTTTTTACGTCTTTAATAACATCGTTTAAACAAGAATGCGAATCCATGCGATTTAAGGTATGATTATACACAAAAATGGTGAAATGTTAGACTCTTCGATCGAATCTAACTGAAAATCAAATAACGTAAAACATGATAGAAAATCCGCGAGTAATATTTTTCTTTTTTTACTGTTATCCATTCTCTATTTTCGGTATCAATTTTAATCCAAGTCAAAGCAAGGAGATTGAATTCCATTCGGATCAAGTTTGTTGATCGTTCGACTATTATTCGCATATTGAGAATCTCTAATTACGATTTCATAAATCGATGATATGCAAAATGGTCGATTGTTTTGAATTGTATAAATAAACGTGGTCACGTGAAAATTAATGCGATATCGTCTAGCCGTACCATTCAACCTTCCTCCACTTTTCCATATCCCTTTCTGTGTTTCTGTTTTAATATTGATCCTACAATTTCAATAAGAATTGTCATTGAACTGTAAAAATAACGTTATTCGAAATTCGTCTTATTATATTTTCATCGATTTATTATGATGAGAAAAAAATAATAAATGAATAAAATTCGTCGGTGATCTTCAATATGTTTCATTTGAAAATTTTAATATACAAACGAGAGCTTTGTAATATTGAAACATTAATATTTATTATAATGAATTATTATGATGAATTGTTATAAAAGAGAAGAAATTTGTTAGACAAAAAAAAAAGAAATTAAAAAGGGGACGAGTAATTTTCTGTAATTTGATTTAAAATGATAGAGCATAGGTTCGGAGGGTAGGAAAAGTATCATTCGAGGTTTGCAAGGAGAGGTCGAATTCTTCGATATTAAAATCACACGAAGCGAGATGGAATTGGCCTCAGTATTAAAAGCGTATGCTATGTTATACGTATACGCACATTATACGTGTATACATGCATATGAATATATATACATACGTATACGTGTGTATAGTCGTATAGGAATATACAAGTATAAAGAAGGAGAGAGATTTCAGCATCCAATGTGAAATCTCGCTTGCTAGTTGAAAGAGACGTAGATAGTAGCATGGTATATGGAACGTTACCGGCAACGAGAAATGCGAACCATTGCCAGACGCAATTTTTATCGCACTTTTTTCTTTTTATAATGCGTGACTTTACACTCTTCCAAGGACTGAAATTAATTTCTTTTTTATTTTTTTTTTATTTTTTTTTTTATTTTTATATTCCTATCTTTTCCCTATTTATTTAGATAAAGATAAATATAAAGAAAGAGAGAAAGAGAAAGTGCGAAGGTAAAGAAAAACAAGATTGATTTTCAAAAATAATCTCGATCCAAGAATATTTTACTTTATTATTTAGAATTTTAGAGAATACTTTTGATTTACTTTACGAGACGTAATTAAATACGTAGTAGGATAGGCTTGGAAAATAAGAAAAGGGTGGCTTGTATATTTAATTATAACATAAAAAAGGAACTTCATTTCGACACACACAATCACACTCAATGCATACATTTAAATGAGACATTGGTAATCGACAAATACGGCTCTTTGACAATTACGATCTTATTATGCCTTTGACTATTCGATTTTGACTACCTCGACTTTTCGGTTTCAACGGGATGCTTTTAAACTTACAAGGGCTCATCAGTATTAAGGACAGGTGTTCATCGCTTTCTTATTGTCGTCACGCCCTCCTCTTCACCCCTTACACACACATATTTCACTTACGTATTCCCTATTAATATTTTTGTTAACATGAATTTTTGTTCATATTAATTAATATTTTATTTTATAAAGAATAGATTTCTATTAAAGTTCGAGATTTTGTTCTTTTTCCGTGAACACCTTATTCGCGATTATTACGTGGTTCTTTTTATGAGACTTTTTTTTGTTTTCATTGTCAATATAATACGACAATGTATTAGCAACGGGTAGGGAGTAATCATTAATAGTTATTCATATGCAACTGTGATAATGATCGATATTATACGTAGGTCGCGAGGGGTGGAAGGGGTATGGTGAAGGGGAGAGGAGGGTGGTAGGCACCAGCTGTGAGTTTCCGCGGTATTATTCGAGGATCGGCTTGGAAAGATAAATCCGCGTGCACTTTTTACCCTTTGGAGGATTTCCAGATACATAGAGGTAAGGGAATGGAAAAAAATAAAAAAAAAAAAGGGAAAGAATTAAAAGAAATAAATAAAAAGGAGAAAACTTCGCTTAGAGATTTCCTGCTTCCGCAACTTTTCCTCTTGCTCTTTCTTTCGGTTTCCATTACGTTGTTCCCTACTTTGTCTTCTTCTTCTTCTCCTCCTCCTCCTCCTCCTCCTTTCTCTTCCTCCTCCCTTTTTTACTTGATCCCACATCTCTTCTAACATTTTATTTTTTTATCTTAGTAAAACCGTTGTCAGCGTTTAAAAAAAAGAAAAATACGAAAAGCATTTTTGCAATACGCCAATTGGAATTAAAGAGTTTGCTTTTATGTTGTATAGTACATGCGTTACGATCAATGTTGAGAATTCGAGCGTTGTATAGAATTTTCGGGCAATGTAAACAAAACCCAATCGAGTAGGATATTGTATAGATTGCTCGATCAATCTTTAGAATGCCCAGAGAATTTTGATCAATGTAGAATATATGCTTGCTTTAGTTATTTCTATTTAGAACACGAAGGGGAGAAGTGTTTTGAAGCTCGTTTTAGTAATATATAACATGGAAGTTTAAAAATTTGTATACAATGTCAGTAACAAGTTTCCGATCAATATACAAAATGTGCTTCAGTGAAGTGTGTTTAGAACATGAAGGGGGAGGAGGACGAACAGTTAAACTCTTAATAGAAACCGAGCCCCACCATTTTTTCATAACAGAATAACAGAATATATCTTTAATTATTAATAATTAAATTCGTGCTTTTTTTTTTGTGTATAATACCTTTTTCTGCTTTTAGGCAATTGAGAAAGCACGTGCACGTGTGCGTGCACAATACGAAAAATGAAGATCATTTCATGACCGTACGAACGAACGCCTGTCGTGGTTTGTTTCACTTACAATAGCTTAAAATCGTTTAACTTTGCCCCTCCCCCCTCCTCTCCTACGTGCTGTAAATACAACTAACTGAAGTATATGACCTAGATTGACGAAAACCCTCTAGGCTTTTTAGAGATTGATCGGGCAATGTACGAAAAACATGCTCAAAATATACATTGCCAATCTATAGATTGCCCGGGGTATTTTATACAATGCCCTGATTTTCAAAATTGACCGTAACATATACGACTCGTGTTTTTATCACATCGGTTAAGATCAATTTCTCCGGAAAAAAATTATACCGAATTGTTTATACACCATTGTCCGCGTAGATTTGTCTTCTTTTTTGTCTCGTTCTTCACTTTTCGTTTCGATCGCGAATATTTTACTATTCGTTATCATTTAAATTTATATAATCGAAATTGAATGTATTTTATCTTCTTTATTCAAAACGTATTTTGTAGGTATCATTGTTTTGTAGCTAGTGAGTTGTTTATTATCAAGGAAAATATTAATAATTGTGTTGAATTGGATTAGTGCTTTTAAATGAAAAAAGAGGAAAGATGTTTTAATAGAGGCGCGAACATAGACACGGTTTAAGCAGACATATCGTACTCAGCAAGGCGCCACCTATTATCACTATGCCATCGCTATTACTCTCGTTGTCAGCACTTCGAAGAGGGAGGACTATGGGGAACGACCTCTCGTCCTGACTAATGGATTTCACGAATTAGATGCCGGCACCCGGGGCGTCGTCGGTGTCGCCTTAACCTAAAGCTGCTTGGCAAAACGTATCTGATTAAACACAGTCTGCTTTCCTTTGCCAACGAGAAACACGTAAGTATAGCACAAACCAGTCCAACAACTCGGACAACTTGGTTCGTAGTGTTACCATAAAGGCACGTAATTTGTATCTTCTGCGAATGCCATGTTGATTCTTCATTCCCCAATTTAATTTGTTATTTAACATATTATTTCAAAGAGACTCGATCGCGTTTATCAATGGAAAAAGTTTTTATCTATTATCGAATCATTTGTTTCTTTGGAATAAGTTTTTAGTTATAACGTTTTTTTTTATCTTTTAATTAATATTAACGTTTATCATTAGTTAGTTATTTATTGAATTCGTTATTTTATGATTTGAAACGTCAATGTATTTTCAAGCAAGATGAAATTGTCTTTGTTTACATTTGATATTTATAACAGTAAATGTTGCAGAGAATTATTAGAATTGTATTAAACAATACGTTTGACCGGGACAAAATATGCGATTTTTACTATTGGTCAAAGGTATCCGGCAGAAAAAATTATGGTGGAAAATAAAAAGCTGGAAAGTCAGTTAATTTAGAGATAACGCTTCTTTGAAACTTCATTATATGAGTAACGACGATTATTAATGGTTTCGCTATCAGTCCAGATGCTTCCAGGTTCGATGGCAATTTCACGGGTAAGCTCGATAAATTATTATCAAACTGTCTGTCGTTCGCATGAAACAGTTAATCCGAGCAGCACCGGCAGGTTTTGGTACAATGAAATTCTCATAAATCATTAAACTCTTATATTTTCTCCGAATATAATCGAGCCTTTATTTAACACACGAACGCATAAACACATGAACACATATATGTATACACACATATACACACACACACACGCGGAAAGGGAGAGAGAGGGAGAGAGGATATTTAAATGAGCGTTGCAGAGATTTGTCGAAAGTGAGTCAAAATAATAGATGACAGAGAATAAAATGAAGTATTTAAAGGTTTATTATTTACGTGTGATAGTTCGCGCGAGAATCGAAAATTCTTGTAATATAGAGATAAATTTATCATCAATCATCACCCTTCTTTATCACGATTGAACTACGACACGTTGGGGTTGATTGATATACATATACATATAATAGTTATGTAGGAACGTCGTTCGTTCGCTGGTAAATAAATACTCGAGCCTACAATAATTTCGGTCCTACATTTTTACAATTCATACGAAATTCTTTCGTCTTTATAATAAATATTTTCTTGTTGCGCTTGTTAACATTATTCGCATAAATGATGATCGTGGTAAATGAATCCAGGACCACACAGTTCGAGAGTATGTAACATCATTATATTTATTCTCATAGCAATTTTTTCATTTAAAAAATTGAATAGATAAAACGAAAAATATTAAAATCTATACTTCTTGTGCAATATACAATAGTTTTGTGAGTTGTATTGTTTATTAGAAAGTGAAATGATTTTGAGGATGGAAAGAAAGAGGAGGTGAAAATCGAGGAAAGAACTTCGTAGAAGAAAAAATTCGATTCGATGTAGATTGAATTGACCCTGATCATCGGAAAGCACCAGTTTCGTAATATCTTTTATTTTTGTATCCATCGATATGAGTGTCCACATAGGTTTTTGAGATTCGCAAAGACATATTCGGTTTTGATCGAATCCCGACCTGTCATGGAAAATACCACGGCAGAACCTCTTTCATCCTATTCCAATATCCAACAGGGAGAAGAGATCAAAGACTAGAGAATGTATTTTTATGAATGTAGATTTGTGTAAGGAGTCTCGACCGTTCTCCTTCTTCACAACGACGATCGATCAAAGTATAGGATATTATTAGTTTTCTTTTTTTTTTTTTCAGAGACAGTTCTAGCAGTCATCCTCTGTTGTTCAAAGTTTTTTTCAAATCTGACTCTTTCTAAACCCTAAAGACACGGAAATTACCATATCAAAGAAATATTTCTATAATCATCGGGTCTTTCGAGAACATGTTCCATCGAATTGAAAAATATTTAACGCTGCTGAAATAGGATGTTTAGGGTTATCAATTTGATAAACATTTAAGGCAAATTTTAATATTATTTTTCAACAGAATTTTCAACTATAACTTTCATTGATAAAGTACTGTATTTACTTATACGTGAAATCAAACAGAGTATTAACATTTTTTTTCTATCAATTTTTTAATATTATTACAAAATATATTTCTAATCAATCGTATAATAATGATGAGTAATAAAAATAGGAAATATAAAAGCATTTAGAAAAGTATGAGCGTATGAAACGTCTATGAGCTATTAAACGTAACGAGCGAGATACGTTTTACTATCTACATAGTTTGAACGAGATATCTAGTAATGCCTGGGGATATTCTGCTTGCGAATCTATTCGATTACATCGGAGTATTTAGTTGTATGTATCACGTTCATGCAAATAAATAATTTAAAAAGAAAATAAACGCGTACTTTATTTATGTTAGAACGAATTTAATGTTCACCGAACGTGATGCTTTAAAACTTGTTTCTTTGTTTATTGTTCTATAAAAAGTTGCTTAAAAAAAATATGTATATATAATATATATATAAACAGACACTATTTCGTATCCAAATACAGTTCTTTGGCGCTATTCGTATGATTCGAGTGGTGCGAATGTATAATTAGGCAAACGGGTCACCTGACATAATAAGCTCTCGAGCGTAATCCTTTCTAGGCACGAAAGCGCTTTCGTGCTTTTTCATTCGCTATGCAAAATCTGGGTCAATGAACTCCCGATGATTGTCGAGTTTCGACCTGGAGTAAAATAATTAGTTTTACGATCAAACGATTTGACGAACGAATTCGCTAGATTCTTAAGATATATTTCGCGATGGGAGAATTTGCGGACTTATATAAATTTGTTAAACTCATTCGTGCAAATAACGTGCAACAAAATGTATAGAAAATCGAAATACTTATACGAGGTAAGATCATTGTCGTGAGAGCACAGTAGAATAATTCTAATGAATGTCAATTATATTTTTTAGAAGATAAATATAATATTTGTTTAAAAAAAATAAAATCTAGAAAATTAATTAATATTCCTAGCCATTGATGAACAACGTATTGATTTTGAATGAAATCATATCTCGTTCGTTTAATCTTCTTGGTAGTCTCGTATAAAAGTCAGAGAAACCTTTTGTCGTCTAACTCATTACATTCTTCATTCTACGAACTTTATCCTTAGACGAGGACGACGACGACGATGACGACAACGACGATGACGACAACGACGATGACGACAACGACGATGACGACAACGACGATGACGACAACGATGACAACGATGAGGAAGATTACGAGTAGCTAGTAACCTTCGTTTCCCCCTTTAAGAGAAATACTTTGCAAGAAGGTAACCGGATGTAGGTAAGGCGGCTTGTTGGAATAAGTCGAGCTAAATGAAATATGCAAATTGAAACTTTAGAAGCATAGGATCGAGATATTATATCGTTGGGAGCTACGCGCGCAGTTTCTATTTTAATCCAATCTATTAGTGCTCATTTATAAAATATCTTAACTTCGTAGAAACAGTTCATATCATGAACCGTTACTAGGTAAGTCCTTCCTAGAGAATTGCTTTTATGCGCGCATGTCTATAGCTTCAATAGGATTCCACTTTCGAAGGACAGAGCTCCTAGTTGTCGAGTAGGCGAACGTGCTTATCTTTGTTTAACTTTCAAAGTAATTTGGCTCGTTGTGAAGTAAGGAAAGTTCACTTGGCTCGATGGTTTAAGTTTAAGCGGCTCGCCACTACCAAACCAGCTTCCGGAAGATGGACCCAGTTTGAAAAGAATTTTACGACTGATATCTACTCGTTCTTGCCCTTTTCAGATACCACTGCTTAACATTTCTTATGTTCCTGACATTACGAACAGTATTACGGATGATTATTTTCAAAATTCTTTTGCATAGCTAAAATCTATATTTTTTTTTATCCGATAATGTTTTCCTAAAATTATTTTTCTTTAATCCTCGTGTTTTATTTCAACATTTTGCAAGCCATTAACTCATTTTAGGATTTATAAAAGATTAAGTTTTTCTTCATTAAGATGTTTCAGATATTAAAAGTAACATGCGTGTATTTTATTTTGTGTATTTAATTGAAAAATATTTAACAAATTTTGTTCGATCGAACTAAATAAGAAAAATCCCTGCACAGATTGATCACGTTTTGTGTTTGTGTACGAGTTTATTATAACTCGATGTTAACACATAATTAGCGAAGTGGATCGCGTTATTATATTCCACATAATAACATCAACTATAATTATAAATGAATAATGCTATTAAAAGCGCGATTGATAATGAGTTTAAATAATCGAATTATTGAATTGTAATCTAAACGTGTGTATACAAATATTTAAGATTAAATAAATGATTATTAGTAATTTTCATTTTGTATGAAGGTGTAACGTTTCTAAAATTAATTCTTTAAAAAAATAATAGATTGATAATTATGATAATGGATTAGCTCGATTTGTATTATTGGTAGTTTAGACAATCACTATTTCTGTTCGAAGAGAAAGAATGAGAATCAATTGAGGGAAAGATCATGTTTTAGTGTGGTGTACCGCAATCTAACGCACAGGACTCGCGGTTCAGCGCTTTTGCTAGCGTTATTTTTCGCTCGAGTCACCATCACTGTGTACTCGCGCTTTCAGCCATTATTTTTCATTTGCTCGTACGTTATACCGCTGACTGGATATCGATTTTTCAATGTGCAATTCCATTGGCTGGCAAGATACTCGCTAAGCCGATCTACTAAGCGTGATCGATAACTAACTCCGACCTATTTCGTATTTGCGATATTATTTGAACTTTCACGTACTTTCATTCCTTCCTTTTAGATAAAAATAAATTAAAAGGTAACCAATATTGCGTAGAAATTCGCGATAAGATGATGATTAAAACTACCACGCGTGACAAAAAAAACCTTGTCTTAAGATGCCCATTTAATTTTCCAATGCCGTACTTATCACATTTAAATGAGTTTTAAATTAATTAGACAGGAAAGAGAAGCAGAAGAAGAAGAAGGAGAAAGAGAAAGAGAAATGAAAAAAAAAAAAAAAATAAAAATAAAAATAAAAAGAATATAAAGGAAAGTTCTTACTCACATTTTTCACGATCTTTTTAAGCTGCTTCGAAGTCTTCCACCAAGTCAAAATCGCCGTTGGCTTCGATCCCGTGCTACGACACTCGACCTCGTATTTATTCCCCGCCGAAAGAGTTTTGTTCTTTTCCGAGATTTCCACTTTCAAAGGTTTCACTGTAATGCAGACAAAACAAAACAAAAAAGAAGAGAAGAGTATATATAACAGGAGCATATCAATCGTTTCCTACTTACTACATTTTAGACTCGTAACCTTTGAGATAATTTTATTAAAGTCGATCGATAAAATTTTGTCGAGAATATCTTAGCTTCGAATGAAAGGGAACATCGATGCCGATAATCGTGCGAGCTTACAGTCAGTCCTACAGTACCTACAAACCTACGATTAAAAATCAGTTTGGATTTTGATAAAAAGGATAAGCCTCGTTGCCTTTTGGTGGCACTTAGCGCGTAAAACGTTTCCGTAATTTAAACTCGAAATTACGTTTTACGGGTGGGCTTTCGAGTCCCGGCAGATGCTTTCCGGTACGTCAGGAAATCCCGACTCGTTATTAATTCGATGGAAGTCGGGGCAGTGAGTGCACGCGCCCTACCTTCCCTTCTACCCTTTCCCTTTCCCTTTCCCTTTCCCTTTTCTCATCCCTATTTCCAACCCATCCATCCCTTCAGCCGAGCTTCGTGCGCGGAGGAAACGAGCCAAGTATTAATTAAACCTTTTGCTTCTCTTTTTCTTTCTTTCTTTTTCTTTTTTTTTCTTTTTGTTTTTTTCTTTATCTGGGTTGGCCAGTCTACTTGGAATATTGTTACATGCGACAGTACGTAGCAGCAACGTTCCAATCACGCATCATTGTTTTTACTCGTTAAAACCTTCGATACTTCCATTGCACGCATGACGCGCCTTCATTTCCTGTAGCTAACTTTGCCACGGATTTAACTTTTCCGTCAGAACGAGCTGCTACGAGTTCTTCCTTTTTTTTTCTTTTTCTTTTTCTATTTTTTCTTTCTTTCTTTCTTTTTTTTCTGCACCGCCTCCCCACCCCCCTAAAGTTTCCGTACAATCCGATAAACTTTTCGTATTTCGCCAGGAGTATTTCATTAGCGAGATTCGACGATTAGACGAGGCACGATAAAAGATGTCGAATTTTAATCTCGTCACGGTAAGTCGTTTATGTAAATTTTTGGAAATATATTTTGCATATATAATATTTTCGTACGCATCGTCGTAGAAAAATGGACAGAAGAAAAGGATAACGAAATTTCAACGTGCGATGATTAATGGCAAAACTGATGATGATTGCATGGTTTTGCTTTTTTTTATTTTTTGATTGTCAATTAAATCAAAGGATTTTGTCGTTGTCGTTCAACGTTAATAAAGCAGGCGTATGTTATTAATAAAAAGAAATGAAAATGTAGCTGGTATTGAAATTGTCCAAAATTATTTCACAACGGTCGAGTAATTTCTGTTAGATATTTAACCATTTCCCTATAATCGTAGATAAAGTTGAATTTTTTTCGCGAGATGTGATTTGCATGGCTTTGTAGTTGTATTCCTGTGTGTCGCATTGTCGGAAAGAAGAGTTGTAATGGTACTCGTGCTTCGCGAAAAGTAATGTCAGTAGCAGACACGTCCGAAAAACTTTTTGGACGCTCGTCTCGTTGAGTTTGTGCTCGTCGGAGCTTTCCCTTCGATGCCGAGCACTGACCGCGCAGAGTTTAGCATATTTTGAAACATTTTCGCTGCTATGCCTTTGTTTCTTGACATCCAACTCTAAAGTTCAAAGTAATTTTTAAAATAAAAATGAGAAGAAGATAATTATTATGGCAGGAGCAGCAACATCAAGCGAAGACACGATTCTCTGGCACGATGACAGAAAGTTAAAAAGACAAACATCGATAATGGTAGAAATTTTACGAATAATATATATATTTTTTGTTTGTTTGTTTGTTTGTTTGTTTAAAGCAGTAATATCAAACTCATTTAACATCATGGATTTATTTTTACAAATTAAACCGCAGGCTATATTACGAACAAACAAAATATACTAGAAATAAATAGGAAGCAAATTTCTATATTTTCTCTCTTTTTTTTTTTTTTTTTTTTTAATAAGTGTAAATAAAAAACAATAAAACTAGTTCCATTTTCAATTATTATGTTTTCTGGTCTCAGATCGATATCGAGTACAATGTATTCAGAGATTTAGTCAGTTTTTGTGTACTGTGAACGCTTCAAGCTGATACTCAATTGTATTGTAACAATAATTGGAACATATTGTTATTCATTGTTGATTTCTATGTATATGAATAGCTTTTTTTTTGGTTTTTTTAAATCCGAACGCATCAAAAATATTTCATTCGTTTACATTTTTACTTTTTCTTTCATTTTTGTTTTTTAAATAAGATATGACAATGCAATTATTACTTCTTTTTTGTTTTATTGTTGGACAAAATATTTAATTCCTGTATCAAAGTATTGATAGAAAATAATTTCAATGGGTATAAAATACTTACTTATAGCAAACGAAAAGACAGTACAGTTATATTGGATAAAAGAGAATCGCGTTAAATAGCTCGTTTGCAAGTTTAAATCGGTTGTATTCAAAACGAGTGAATGTTACAGAACCGTTCTAGCTTAAGTGAAATTCCTGAAGTCTCATTGTAGTTCTTAAGTGATATTATTCGCATAATTTGGCAAGGACCGAAGTCTTTGGTTGGTAATGTTACAGTTTCATCGAATATATACGTCTTCTCGACTACGAGATGGTCTTATAGAAAATACGTTTGAATATATGTAACATTATTAAAAGTTCTTATTCTTGATTAAAATATACTTGATAATAAGGGTAGGATTATATGGAATAGTTGGAATTACCAGATCATTAAAATTTTAAATCGTTATATTCCGGATCGTTATTGTAGCAAATATGAAAAAAGGAGGAGAATTAGAACTTGCAGATATCAATTATTATAAGTGAACCCCTTATCACATGAAAATAAGTCCATTTCTGTATTAAATTAAGAAAATATATAATTTTGTGTTTTATATAATATTTAAAAAATTGTTTTCTTTTTCAAATTATTAAGGGTGTTGTTCATGAACTGTTGCCTCCTTTAAAATTATTTGAAGTAGGAGATTGATTAATTATTAAAAATCAAAATTATTATTATTAGTTTTCTCTTACACACAAGAAATTCATAAGTTTTTGTAATATCGTGTTTCAATGGATCGATCGCAACTTTTATCGATTCAGACACCTTCATAATTTCAAGCTGTTGGAGGATTTATATAGAAAAAAAGATAATCGAATCGAGTTAAGTATTAAATTCGAAAAGTTTCGTATTTTTTAATAGGAAAAAAAACAAGGATGACCAAGTCGAAATCACTTGTTCTTACAAAATAGAGCATAAGTAATTAAAAGAGCTTTATCGAGCGGAAAAATAAAGGGAGAAAAATAAAGAAAAAAGTTAATAAAGGAAGGAATACTTAGATAATACGCTGTGATCGATTATCGATAATAATCTACGATGGAACTAACTAGGGTGTCTAAAGAAACTTTTTCAAGTTAAAATTGTGATTGCGCGTAAACTATAGGGGTGAGGTAAGTAAGAGGGGTACCTTTCGATGGACATGATTTGCGGATTTGCCAGTTGCAATGAGTTATTGGTCGGGAGTTTAATTTTGAATAAATAAAAATATATGAATATTATTGTAGGTTTTTTTTTTAATTTTATTTCCTATTCAACTTTTGAAAAAGTTCTTCCGGACATCCTATATATGTTAGCAATTAGAATGTCCGCTCATCGTAAATATCTACTAGAATCATTAACGTTTCCTACCGAGATAGTCTAATGAGATTTATGGAGAGTTCATACGATACGATAGAGGTTTATTAATTTTCTTACTAATTGATCTGCTATCTATTTGAAACCTAGTTTAAACACTATCGCGAAATGAATCTTTTATATCATAGGAAATTAAACGCGTTGAAATTACAATTATTTCACGAATAAAAAAAAATGGAAAAGATAATTAGGTCTTTTTTTTTGTGTTTTTTTTTTTTTCCGTATAGAACCCCGTAGATATAGAAATATAATTGTTCATTTATTACTTTTATCCCAACGATAAGATGAAAATTTATTTTTGTTCGTGTTGATCCTTGTTATATTTCGCACATTAAAATGCATTTAAAAATTGATAACACCTTTAGATTAGAATTTTTTTCTATTTTGGATAACACATACACACATACACACACACCCAATTTTAAAAAAAGAAAGGTATTATCGATTCGAAAATGTTAGGCGACACAATGTTCGCGTTGATATTAAATTCATAGAAGGAATTTAAAATGTAAATTAGTGTGACCGTGTAAGTACGTGCGTATGTGTGTGCGAGGTGATATTTCGCTTTTGCAATATGGAAAGTGACGGAAATAACGTGGCAACTGTTAACGCGAGAATGTGAATAAATTCTCTTTTCAAAGCGTCCAAGTTTCAACACAAAGTAACTGCCGACCACGAGATTCTTCAATTCGTTAGACTTTCAAGTAGTTGGACGAAGGATAACTCTGATTATTCGATGCGTGCTTCATTCGAGTGCGGCTCCAATTAGCGAAAGATCAAGTGAATTCGTTTGTAGTTCTTACGTTGCACGAATAGAAGAAAAAAAAAATAATATCCATTTAACCGTTTTAACCATTTCTTTCCTATTTACTTTTCTCTTTTTGGGGGGTTTTTTTTTTTTTCTTTTCGCATGACTTCTCAGTACATCTATATTATTTTAATATATATTATTTCTTTTTCTTTTTTATTCAGAATAAAAATGAATAATAATTTAACGATAGTGAACGATCTCATTTGTACAGAGAGAAAGATGATTCTTTTGATTAATTTCTTTTTATTCGTTTTGTATGTATTATATTATGTATGAAATACACGAGAACCAATAGCGACTAGGTAGGATGTTTCTAAATTCTTTTTAAACATATTTGGTAAATTATATCAAAACTTACTTTGTTCCATTCATTGTTGTGTTTCATATAAATTAATACTTCTATATTAAACGCTTTCTGAATAAACTATATTTGATATTTCATATAAAGGTAACGTAGAAAATTATTAGTGCGCATCGAATTTGAAATGATTATAGTATCGAAAATATGGTAGGATATTAAACATTAATATCGTTTTAATATATATATANTATATATAATTAGAATTAATATGATTAAGAATTAATATGATTAAGTTTAATTTCATCTACTGATGATTTGACGGATATTAATCACTTTGGTTAATATTTTGACTGTGTCATCATTTCGGGTATTCCATTAAATAAATTGCCAAAATTCATATAAAGATTATTTCATTGTATCGGTGAATACGTATCGTTCGTTATATTATTTCGAAAAATGTTCTTGCTCCGTGTAAGGAATCTATCGGATTTTAAACTAATTAACACCAGACTCGGTTTTATCGATTTTAATCAAACTAAAATAAGTACGATTACACGTAGCTAAGAGATATAAAGAAAGTTTGAAAGAAATAAAACTAATTCCAAGGTTAAAGCTTAGCGTTAAGCTTCGGTTTTGTAAGAAGTTTACTTCAGTTACGTGTTGAAGGCTATCGATGTGCATTAAATAAAATAAAAAAAAGTCAAACATAGAAAAAACAAAAAATATCAGTCACACATACCGGGCATGCGACAATTCAAAATAAAAATTTGTCTGAATATACGCGTCGAGTAGTGCAAATTAAACATTCTTATAACGCCTGTATGGAATTTAGAAAAATATTTAATTAATTTACTTTGATTCGCGCGCACTTTTGATTAAAAAGATTTTCAAGATATTGGAATTTTTTGTTTGTTAAGTCAAAGAAAAACAAACAATAGAATTCGATTGACTTTGTAGCTTAAATTTTCGAGATAAACAATCAAAATGATCTATAGAACTGTAGGGCGAAACGAATTTTATCATGGTCATTCGTGCAATGTGCAAAGAGAAAATTCCTACACGCTCGAATGTTTTTGTTTGCCAAAATTTTCCATTTTTTAAATAAAAGTATAGGTATGCTCCATTCGTGCCATTTGCAGTTTACTTAGAAAATTCAAATAAAAAATCTATTCGAGCGTTTTAATAAAATACAGTTGACGAATGTGATAAAGTTTTCAAGCAAAAAAAGTTTTTTACGTAATAAAAAATTTCTCGTATTTCCATTAAAATTTCTTGCGTGAATGATCGTTCGCTTGTCAATGCGAATAAATGCGCATACGTATACATATATGTACACATTTTAAAGCTATATCGTTCAGATTACTAAATACGAATAAATGATGATACCATTCGAATAAATTAAAATTTTGTCGATACCTAACACTCATACAATGGATCGTGATCTATTTGTTGATGGTAAACTTGAAGGTGTTACATCTATATTATTAAATTCAAATATAGTGTAGAAAATATGAATTGTTTTGAATTAATTTTTAATTATCGCTTTACGTATATATATATATATAAGATGTTGCTTACAATAATGAGAAGTAATATAACAGTGTAAATAATAATAATAATAATAATAATAATAATAATAATAATAATAATATATTATATAACAATAACAAGGGAGAATAGTTGTCGTCAAAAACAAAGTGGCCGCAAAGCGATCGTAGTTTCACCTTTGTCACGTTTTTCATAAAGATTAATTGAATTCTATCGTGGCTATTTCCTTCGGCAGCGAACCGTACGGATTGTTGGGATTCGAAAATTTCGAGCAGAATCGGAAGCGGTGTTATTAATGACGCAGAGAGTTTCGATTGCTTTTCGACGGTGAGCCGATGGTGTACGCTGCGATGCCGGCTCGGTTCGCGAGCCACCCTCCGTTATCCAACCACCTCTACTTCTCCCTTTCCTCTTGTCTATGTCCTCGTGTAATCGATGAAAAATGTTTCAATTTTATCTCGGCAAATTAAAATATTGCCTTGAGGATAGGGAAAAAATCTGTTCGACAAATCGGATTGTTCGATAAAATATGCATTCTATCGTTGGCTTATTCATTTTTCAACTGAGGGATTGGGATCGATAACTGTGAATTGGGATCGATCTCGATTGGGTCTAGGATCACTTTACTTTTGATGTATTATGCAAGGAAATAATCATTGATTATTCCCATCATCGGTATGGTAATTTTCGTTAGCGGTCATTTGAGTCAATACGAGAAAGAGAGAGAGAGAGAGAGAGAGAGAGACAGAAAGAGAGACAGAAAAAAGCTTGACTTTTTTCTTGTCGCAATTAACTTAACGTGCTGACGGAATTCGATTAAAACTCATAAGAGAAACGATGGGAAACGTGGTGTGTTGTTCCAATCGATATAACCATATATACATATATAGATAAATACATATCTACTATGGCAAGTATGTTCGGTCGAAATTAGCTCGTTAACTGTTCGAAAACGGCAAACTATCGTTCTCTTCTTTTTTTCCCCAATTTCGCAAACGATTTAACATTGCATTCCTGAACATAGGAAATGTGCGCAATCGAATGGAGGGTTGAGGAAGCAACATATTCTCTACCACTATATTCCATCCTATTTCTATTTCGATGACTAGTTGACGTTTAACGTAAACCAAGAGATGACTTATTCCTAGTAGTACTTACTGTTTAGTTCTATGGTGACAGTAGTTTTGGGCGGTGGTGCCAAGTGAGTGTTACTCGCCTCGCAGGACAATTTGGCATGATGATGACTTCTTGTGAGCCCTTTCACTGTCACATTGCTTATCGTTATGACGTTGCTTTCCCCTTCAGGCCCTTGCGTTTCTCGAACCTCCGTTGGTGCATCGATTTTCTGCGACCCGAGAGACCACACGACTCGCGGTCTCGGTTTGCCTGTCGCACAGAAACACAAAAGGGGAATGAGAGAGACAGAGATGCATAATGTTTGTATGTGTGTGTGTGTGTGTTTGTGTTGTATATGTGATAGAACGAAAGATGTGAATAGCTGCACCGAAGAGAGATAAGTTATGGAATCTTGCAAAGTTACCAATTTCTCTATTACAGAGATGGATTATAGATCTTTAGTCGACCTTGCTACGAATGTGTGTTATAACTTTATTGTTTGGATGATAATTTATAGTGCAATAGATCATTTGTTTGATTATAAATGGTGCATTTAGTTTTCCTAAGATACTTCTTCTTTCTTTAAAAGAAAAAAATGGAATAAAAAAAAAAAAAAAGAAGGCCAAATTTTATTACATTTAATAAAGGTATGCGAAAAGGGTTGTGTGAAAGATATACTAGTTCAATATAATTAACTGCATAGTAATATATAATATATTCTATAGAGACATTTGAAGGAAAAGAATAAAAAAAAGAAGAGGATGAATGGGAGAGTGGAAAATTCGAGGTAACGGGATGGTTCGGATGGAATCAAAGATACAATCCATGTTCACGTCTAATCTAGGAGTCGATCTAATCGGATACTAGGACGAGTCAGGAGAAACATCGACATACTCTGTAGCATCGTCAATCACGTACAACGACAGGTCTTATTTGCTCGCGACAACGGCCGATCGACGTTGAGGTCGGTGCTGATGGCATCCCTCTCTCAATCTAGACCCCGTCTGTTTCTCCGATTTATTGGCATCGCTATACCCGATGGAGATGCTCGCAAGATTTCCTATTACTAATTGCGTATGTGTTTGTATGTTTATTCCGCATTGCCATCAACGCCATCTGGTAATCCAAGAAACTTCGAGAAAGCTCTAGGAAATTTGCGCACTTTGTGTTGATGTGTGTGTGTGTGTGTGTGAACCTATTGTCTTATTCAAAACTTTGTCGTGTGTATGATTATTTCGATAAATTATATCGTCGACGTTTCTTTTTAAATTCTACGAGCCTAACTTGTATTTTTACAATACAAAAAAGCAGACATTTTGTCGATAAAAGTATACGGAAAAATGTGATTAATTTTTAATATTATATTTTTAGAGAATTTATAATTAATATAATATATTTATTTATTTGTATTAATTTTTGTGATTAGGTTTGTATACTTAGGCGTAACTATTTTTTCGAAATGACGATGATAATATATAATTTGATACGGATTAATAATAGGAATTTCTTTCTTAAATATCAAATCGAAAAGAAATAAAAAATAAGCTGCAATAACCCAACGTTACTTTAGACCACATTTTCAGTATTATAGTACGTTAACTCGTGTATAATCTCGTACTCTCTTATTGCGAATAATAGTATGAAACTGAAAGCACTACGCGTCGTGTATTTTTAATTAGACAAAACTATAATTTTACAACTATAATATCACGAAGTTGTAGGGGAGAGTTTTTCCTAATATGAAAAGCTTATATTTATGATTATGTTTCTCTCCCCTTTTGTTCGAGTTTTTATACGTTACGAATTTAATACCATAAACTCTTGTCTTTAAAACGAGTCATCTCTTTTTTCTCGCTATTTTGCACTGATACAAAAATTCGATTGAGTTTCTGATTAAAAATTCCGGACGGTAGATTAAGAACGTTTTTCCATGCACATATTTCCCCATCAATTGCCATCAATCTTTTTTCTCATCTTCGCGATTCGTTTCGTCGATTGGGATCTACGATCAATGATTACGTCTACGTTTGATATTTTTTATTCGCATACATAAAACGACCGTCTCACAGAGCCAAATGTTTTATTTAATAATTCGTTTGATAGTTGTTATATTGGAATAAGAATATACGACACGCGTATATACGCAAAAAGATATAGATATTTTTAACGGTGATGGTTTTTTTCTGGCTTTTTAGAAGCGAATTATTTGCTTAAACAAGAGTGAGCGAGCAAAGGACAGAATAAACGTACAAAAGCGGGGATAAAGGTTTGAGGATGGAACTAAAGGGTGCACAAAAGCGAAAATCGAGCAAACGCTTCGTTCACTTGTCTTTTCTCCTTCATAACTTCCGAGGAATTATTTCATTGCCGGAGGCATGAAATGAGAAAGAATGATGAAAATAGAGAAGTAGTAAAAGAGATAGATAGATAGATAGGTAGATAGATAGAGATAGAGAGAGAGAGAGAAAGAGAGAGAGAGAAAGAGAGAGGGTGAGTGAGTGATAGGGGGGGGTGAGGGAGAAAGTGAGAGATGAAAAGAGAAAGATAGGAAGGAGGTTTATCGTTTTCGTGAACGCCTTTATCTGTGTTTCCTTAGATTTTCACGATATATAAGAATTCAAACAAAAGATTTTATATAGTTAGGAAGGGTAACGGTTTATTTCAAATTCAATTGATCAAATTTATTGAATGAAATAGTCATTAATGATATTTCTTTCTAATTTTAGCGAGAATCACTAATATCTTCTTTTTTTTTTAATAGATTTTTATTATTTGTTCTTTGAAATCTCTAGTATTTGAAAACATTAGAGATATAGTTGTTGTTATCTTACTTTGTGTCTTTAATCTATTTGTTTAACAGAACGCTTTTATCGTAACCGTTTGGATTCTGCATTCTCTTGAATTTGTAGATTTTTTTATTCGAATATATTTATTCTAATTTGTTTGTTTAATATTTTGTATTCTTAAACATAGAAGAGGTATGTTTATTATCTAAGAATATTTCTGGAATCTATTTGTTTAACAGAACGCTTCTGTTATATCCGTTTGGATTATCCATACCTTTGCATTTGTATATATATGTTTTATGCTCAATTCTATATACTACATACATGTATCTATATATATATAATACATACGTATAAAGGTATAATACGTACACATATATAGACGTGTACTATTAAATTATACCGTAAGGACAATGTACGTATCTCCTTTGTATTCAAATGAAAGCTTAAAGGAAATTAAAGTGAACACACTTGGATATCGCTTAACGCACATGCATGTTTATTTTTATTAGTCGCGACATTTTATTTAACCGATATTGCAAAACGACAATTCGTATCGTTTTATTGTAAAATAATATGTTAGATAAACCAACAATAACGAATAAATATAACATACGATATAATATACGCAAGGATCGAAAAACTTTATATAAATAAAGTGTATCACATTTGAAAAAATGGTATTATTTAAAACGATATACCTACGCTAGTGTTTTAGGATAACATTTCGATTCATTTGTCGAGCTTATATATTAGAGTACAACGTTTGCACGAAAATAACGCACCAAAATCAAAGTAATAAATTATGATGTTCTACGAGCTTGCAAACATACTTACACACTAGGCCGGCCAACCATTTATTCGATCGATACGATGTAATTTCATAAAGTCATAAATATTGAATAATTTGACAAGAGTGTTACTTTATAAGCGTTATATCTTTTATTTATAATTTAATAGTTTAAAAAACATAGTTTTATTTATCATCTCTTGTGTTTTCCATGGTTTTTTTTTTTTATTTTGATGTACTGAGATAATATTCGTACTGGTATATCGAATAAACGGTGTAGAATTCAGGAGAGTAGAAAAATCGAGATGGAAGAATTTTTGGATGAGGATGAAGAAGTGGTGTGGTGTTTGCGGGGGTTGGGGGGGGTGGTTTGTATGAGATAGAACGTTCCAAGATTTTCATTGCTCGAGCGTCGCGTTAAAACAAACATTTTATCGCGGTCGTCGCGGCGCGCCGTTGTAAAATTGCGTTCGTGGCGACATTCTAACAATACGATGAGGCTCGAGGGAATCAGGAAGAGAAAACGACGACTACGACGACGAACAGGAGGTGGAGGAGGAGGAGGAGGAAAACGTAGAGGAAAACGTAGAGGAAAGCGAAGAAGAAAGCTAGGAGAAGAAACGTTGAAAACATAGTGCATTGTGATACAACAATGCAAGCTACAATGCACACGGTGAGGCTTGACGGAGAAATCTTTTTGAAGGTGAACGCAGGATAACGTTGCACCACTTTTAAAACTATCCAACCCGTTCGTTTCTATTATCGCAAACGATATATATTGAAAAATTTAACGATCGTATAAGCTTGTAATGTTACAAGTTGAACATCACATATCGTGATCTCGATCAATGTCAATTTTGAAAAAAGAAAAATATTAAGAGCGTGAACACGTAACACGAAGTACTTTTTAACTTTTTTTTTTGGTTCCTTATTTCAATTTCTTCTAAAATATAATATAACAAAACATATATCTATGTATCTATCCGATATTTTCTAGGGATGGTAAGTATTATATTATTATGCCTTTTTACGAATCTTTCGAGGAACTAGTTAATAAAGTTTAGAAAAAAACAAAAAAAAAAACAAAAAAGGAGACGACAATTTTTTTCCCACGTGAGAATTTTATTGATATTAAAACCGATCGAGATAGACGAATCGTAGGAATTAAAACGAATTTACGAGGAGATAATATCGTTCACACGTACGATGACATCGATAAAGATCGTCGAGCCAAACGCATTATATTACTCTCACCGAAACACAATATTTTTCATAGTTTTATGGTATGATAAAATAAATTAAAGTTCCCTGCAACCGCTTTTGCTTTTCTTCTCTTTTCTCTCTCTCTCTTTTTTTCTCCTTATCCTTTATCTATTTTCTATCTTTTTCCTTTTTCTTTTTCTTTTTCTTTTTGCAAGCTGGAACGTATGTACATACATACATACATACATACATATCAAGAGTAATGCTTAGGTAGAAAAAATTCTGCTTTGCCTTTGTGCATGTTGAAGGCAACGCGATAAACAAGGTTGCATGTATAACTCGAATAAGTTGCCTTTAACTATAGTCACGAATTTCCCTCTATCTTCTTCTTTTTCTCTCTTACCGATCTTTCTCTTTTCTTTGAATCGCACGGGTAACTCGTACCTTTTGCTTTTTACATGTAAAAACGACCTGTTTTTCATCAAACGTTCTAACTTTATGAGATGTGTACACATAAACACACACACACACACACACACACACACACACTAACCGCTGCCAGTAACTTTTTGTTCTTTTTTATTTTTATTTTACGTGCAGACTAATGTCTATTAAAAATATTTATTTTATTCTGTTAATCTCTGTGATAAACGGTTAGTTTTAATAGTAGTAAAATATTGATCATTTGAATTACAGAGAAGATACGAATTATTTCAAATTAATGAATATAAATATTGGTTTGGAAGACGATAAAAAATAAGGCATGACGGATTATATAGATAAAGGAATAATTATTTATTAGATTATATACTTATATATAAACAGAGATTATTTTAAAACGTTTCTAAATCGTATCTCTCTTATCGGTGAGGCCGACATTTCTTCGTTCGTTGGCTCGATAACGTCGCAGGATAAATCATACAGCTCGTGTGAACCTGCGACTGGCAGTAGTAATAAACAATACGAAGATTAACCTGCAAGACCGCTTTCAAGCTCTCTATCTACGGTATGTTGGTATGCGTACGTTCGCACGATACTTGCGATATAGACCATAATAGACCCAACCTCGTTGTCGTACGTTGATATACGTTGGTCGTTGAATAAAATCGTCGTAGACGTTCGTCATTGTGTGCTTTTATTTAAAGTACCCTTGGAGAATAATCTGCCATATTTTTCGAAATATTCAAACAAATTTTTCTCTTCGAATTATAATATTAATTCTTTACAATTTATACGCGATAACGTGTCAACATTAATCCATTTGTCTTATTATTATTTGCGAACGTTAATATTTTAATATATTTTCATTTTCTTATTTGATGATTGAAAATATATGAGCTAAATATTTGCTCTCGTCCCATTCAATTTCTAGTCCTTTAATAATATTTCTCAAGTATAAGCACACCATTGTTTCTTCCTTAAAATGAAATTTAATATTTATTTCAGTAGAAAGTGTCCCATTAATTTAAATTATTCAAAATTTATTATGTGATTTTCCAGCATTAGGATTGAAAAGCCAGTCGACACATTTTCATAGTGAGAAGAGCTTAGCTTTCTAAATAGAGACATATCGTTGAGAAGGTGTGAAGAAACTTGTAAAGCTACATGTGAAAAGACAAATCTTCAGTAGGAATGGTATTTACGCAAGGTCGACTGGTATGTCGTAAAGAGACAAGTAGACCGTTCCAAGGATGTCTTTAGAGAGAAGGATGGTTATGTTTGAATTTGCTGTTGATTTGGTTTGATGTTAAATTCTCTAAGAGACGAAATTTCAATATTCGAAATTCCCTTGAGTTCTAATTCCCACGTCGATTTCAGAAACCAATGGTAACGGTTTATATTTGTGGGCGAACGTTTAATACTATTTGATAACGAACGTCTGATAATTGAATTAGATCAAATGATATAAGTAGATTTGATTTTATATCAGATTGCTGTCACATTCTTTTGTCGAATATGTTGGTAGTTGTATTTCCTTCTCTCATATGCCAGTTACGATTTAGCGAATATTTTCGTTTTAAGAATATAGGTCTGATAAATAGTAACGGTAAGAGTGAATGAAAAGTTCAAAATAGAGCTTTTAGAGTAGTTCGAATAAAGTTAGTGTCGATTTTCCGTGATAAATTGTGTGTTTTTGAAAGTTAAAGAGAGGGAAGTAAGCGTTGGGAAGAAGTATTTGCGTAAGGACTATCGATGTAATTTCGATCGATCAGTGTGACCGTTATCGAACTTGACTATCTTCTCCAGAAGAAATACCTACGAAAAGGAAAGAATCCTTCTGAAATAAATCAATAGCACGTTCCCGACAGATAAGAAAATAAAATAAAATAAAATAAAAGAGTAACACATATATCGTGGAAAGAATCGTTCAAATCTAAAATGATGGTAACAAGTTTTAAAGAGTAGAACCTGGGCAATGAGCGTTCTTTAACGTGTTCGTTGGTCCATCGAGGGTACAATTTAACGTAAATCGTCTGAAAATTGTTCGGAAAAGAGAGGAGAGAGTGAAAGAGGTAGGAAAGTGTGAGAGAGAGTAAGAGTCGTCTTTTCGCGAATCTTGCGTATGAAACGGAAAATCCTATTTCCCTGAAAACCGCGGGGTATCCACTGGCATTGTGCCAATTCCATTTGAAGTAGCCACGGCTCTCGAGTTTTCCTCGGTCTCCGTGGTCTTCTAGAAGAGAACCGGAGGTTACAAATCCGGCTTACTTTTTTCGTAGGCGTGCACGAAGAGTCGCGTCCCGTGGCGTCATTCGTGCTACATACCTACAAACCGTTGAGAATTTCTCTCTCTCTCTCTCTCTCTCTCTCGTTGGCTGGACTTTCTTGGAGTATGGCCAATTTTTATTTTCTCCCAGTTTCCTTTCGTCTACTTATCTCTCTCCTATTCGTGGTAGAACATGGTCTACGCGACCTAACGCGAAATTGCACCGTAACGATGCACTCCTCGCTTTCGTATCGAGCTCGACAATCCACCCTGCTGGATATCGTTTTCCCGTTGTTTGCGTTTTGCTCTTGTTCAACCCGCATCCCTCAAAGAATCTCGCTTTCCAGCACTTTCCAGCACGTTTATGGATCTAACCCGAAATTGCATTCGATCGAAGGAATATCCCCTTCTTCCCTTCCAGCCTGTCTGCTTGCCCTTCCAATCGTCGATCTACTTTCTCCTTTTTTGACTCCTTTTATCGAATATCGAAAAGTACGCGACCTACGATAACCTAAGATTATCTTCTTTCCTTTCATTTCCCTATCTTTCATTTTGATATCACTGAGAGAAAGAAAGAAAAAAAAAAAGTAATGGAAGATGAACGGTAGAAAAAAAGAAATAAATTGGAGGATGGTAACGGGAAACCGAAAAAAAAGAGACAGGAGGGCAGGTAGAAAATGATTTTCAAGATGGTTCAGGTTCTATTCTCATTTCGTCGGGAGGATTATAATCCACCAACTCGTTTCCTCGTCAGACCTCATTACCACGAGCACTTAGGAGCTGGCGATTTGATCGAGTATGACGGATGTTCGTTTCTCCCGTTGTTAAACGCGCGGCATAAGCACTTAACGTAATCTTCATTTTATTTTCTACGAAGGATGTGTCCGATGATGGATCGATATAATTGTATATATATATATATTCGTATTTAATACAAATCTTATAATATGTTGGATGTTCGAGCATATATTATATATATAACATATTTTTCCTATACCTATTATTTATTTGAAATGTTAAGAATTTTCTATAATGGAAAAAAAAAACAATTCAACAGAATGAATGGTAAATTTAATTTTGTTTAAATATCATCGATTCATTCGATTGATATAATATAATGTTAAATGGAGGAAGATTTTTGAAAAGTTTCGACAAAGTTCTTTACTTACCTCCGTGAACCTCGCAGATGAGGATGAGGTCGGCTCCTTCAGGATAGGCTTCGAGAAGTTTGCTCATGTCTCGTCTCTTCGTGTCATAGATTATCGGCTTCGACGGCGGTACTGCAAGCAGATGAGAAAATACGTTGGTCGAGCGTGATGCACGATATCAATCTTCCATTTTTCAAAGTATTCTATGTCATAAATCCTTTTTATAAGTAGGTTGGTTTATCTATGGGTAAAGGAAAATATACAAAATTGATGCCTCGAGTTTACTCGTATGCATAATCGATGAAGATTCAAACCTGTTTCTAAATTTAATCCGAGATTCAATTTCAATTCAAATTCTAGGATTTGGATTCTCTTTGGGAAGATATATATATATATATATATATATATATATATGTACTCCTATATATATTTCTATCTGTGTATTTCTTTTTAATCGTACTATTCGCCTTTTGTGCTTGTACAGTTTCCTAATAGATATCCATTATCGATCGAAAATTTGGGTAGACCTGCCACATTTGCATTTCGTCTAAGATCAAGAGAAAACTTCTTGGATCTTGTAAGAAAAACATTTGGAACCAATTATATATATAATTGCACTTATATGTCAATATTGTGTAAAATATTTGTACAGAAAAAAAAGTGATTCCTTGGACGTGCGAGGAGACGTTTAGCCGTAGTTAACAATAATTTACCAAATGATAATAGTAAAGTATATTTTTCTAATCAATTTTTTATATACGTAAAAAATACGATACCATCAATAATTTACACAAATATTTTATAAATATCAATACGTATTTGTTTTTGCAAACTTTTGATCGTTAACGTATAATATTTTAAATTCGTTCAGGATCCATCAGTTAATTACAGTTTTAAGGAAATAGTAGTTTGTACTTATTGGAATGATTAATTAAGGGACGTTTAAAAAACGGTGCCTATTTTTCTGTTGGTTGGAGAAGTAGTGGTAGCACTATCCATCGTGAGTCTATATTGTATATTATCATTTTCCTGCGGTTTTGAAAATGGAGCCCTAGGCGGTACGTGGTACGCGGCTTGAAAGAATATGCTGGTTAGATGAGGAAATGGAGAGAAAGAGAAAGAGAAAAAGAGATGGGGTAGGATAGCGGAACCGAATAGGGGAAGGAAAGCGGCTTCTATTTGACTTGAAGCGGCCTCTACCTCTTGCGTTTCCTCTTTCATCACCGGCTCGATCCACGATACAGAGAGGAGGAGGGAAATGCAAACAGGCCGAGCTCATCCCGATATGTTCTCGGACGGATGCCTCGTGGAAATTGCCTCGGGTTATTGTCACCGCATCGTTGTCCGGAACTGCGTTGCACTGCACCGCAGTAAGAGACGAACGAACCTTGTTGAAAAAGAGAGAGAGAGAGAAGGAGAGAAAGAAAGAGACTTTGCGTTGCATAGAAAAGAAGAGACTTAAAAGAGTTTCGAAAGTCAATGCAAAAATCGTAGTAGAAAACTGGCAAGCGTGGTGGGTAAGTGGTGGTATCGTGGCAAAGCTCGATAAGCGAGCTCGATTGTAGTGGTAATGCTCCTTCAAGAAAATATACTTCGATTCGAGAAAAGCACTCACTATTCTCTTTCTCCTACCCCTATTACTAACCTTCCACCTCTCTCTCCCTCCGTCCCTCTCTCCCCCCCCCCCCCATTCCACCATCGCTATTCCGGCTTTCGACTACTTTTCAATTTGTAGGAAGGAAAGCTTCTTTTTTCGCGATCTTCTTTCTCGTTCGAAACTTCTTGTACCCTCGTTAATGTTGACTTTATCTTAATGCAAAGTTTTCATTGCACTTTATTACATATTATTCTTTTATCATATATTTCGTAAACAATAAGAATGAGAAAGCTGAGAAGAGAATAGGAGAGTTCGAGTTGACGATATAGGTTTTAAGTATATCCCTTAGAATTTGTATCTTCGTATATATAATATGTATATATAAGTATGTAAATATGTATATATATGTATGTGTATATAGGTGCAAGTTGTCGTGGCCACACTTCTAATCTTGCTTAAGATTAGAGACGCGTGAGGCTTGCGTCGTTTTAGCATCGCTAATGTCACCACTTGGAACCTTTTATGGGTGTGCTTATCCATAGGAATCATCTAGAAAACGACGTTGTACTTTCTCAACACAGTGATTTTGCTTGAAGCTTCTGCATTGTTCTCTTTCTCTCTTTCTCTCTGTCTATCTCCCTCTCGACGAAAATCGAAAGATCTCGTCGTCTAGGATTATTGTTCGACTATTGTTTCGCGCGAAAAAGAAAGATATTTCCGTTGTCCGTTCAGAGTCAGAGCATTGCGTGGTTTTCATTCGACTGACTTTTCGCATTGCTGGCTAGCGCGAACTCATACATAGTTCCATAAGTACGGCGTTTATTTTAACTGACCCATTTGACACGATAAGAGTTCCATTCGCTTAACGCGACTACTTACTCTTCGAAAGAGTACAAAACCCACGACACGACGCGCTTATTTTATCGATTTTTTCCTGATGGAACGTTTCACCGAATTTCTTTTCAAAGTCGTGTCCCTACTTATCCGACAATTTCAGAGTTTCAAAATCGATTCATACTATTTTCTCGAGACTTTCAGAGTACTTACGTTCTCTGAAAGTTTCGTATAGATTTCAAGTGTATTGTATCTCCGTGAAATTATTTGCATTACGATCGGTATCATTAAAAATAGTAATAGACTATTAAAATGTTTTTATAATGCTTCTCAGATAGGTTTTGTTTGCAAATCTAAACGAATAATAATAAAATACGTCAACGATATAATTGCTTGGTGTATTTTATTTGCCATTCGAAAAACCAGTATAGCGATTAGAATTAGATAAGGAATCGGGACCGGAGTCATTCAATCTTCTAAATATTTCATCAAAAAGATTATGATTTGTAGAATTCACATTAGTCTTTCCTTACTTCGGTTATATTTGATACATTTGCTTTTGGTGTAAAGAGGATACGACGCTGTGGTTTGCCTTTAAGGATTATCAAGTCCATGCGTTGTATCTTTGCGAAATTTCAAATTTGAGAAAATAAAAGAAAAAAGGTTAATAATAATAATAATTAAAATTAGAAAGCAAATAATGATAAAATAAAAAACTGAATTACTCAGGAAGTGTTAAAAAGAAAAGGGTGAAAGAACGAAACGAGTTCGTTACTTGGTTATAGCAATGGTTGCCACAAAGTAGCTGAGAAAACTTTTATAGAATTTTTAGTGTCGACTTGAACAGGAAGTCGTGAGGTAGGAAATGTTGCTTTCTAGCCTGATACTCGGAGTTAGTGTAGCAGTTATAAATGGAAACTGTCGAGCGACGCCTCTTGCGCGCGAATCCTTACGCATTCAACCGCTAGATCTTACCCTAGAAAATTTATTAACGAAAACTTTCTGCTCCATCGTACCGAGAAGAAGAAGAAGAAGAAGAAGAAGAAGAAGAAGAAGAAGAAGAAGAAGCAGAAGAAGAAACACGATGTTATGGCCGAGCGTACGTGAAACCATCGCGTTTCCTTACGAAATATTTTCCCCTTGTCCCGTTAAACGTCGTTTTCTACTAAAACTCTTTGCCGTACAAGATATTACCAGCAGTTTCATAAAATTTTACGAAAAATACAATAAGTATATCGCAACGTTCTTGAAAATTTCTACTATTTCGTGTTTATTTTTCTACGCGAATTTCATTTGTCACACACTTAACAGATATTTTAATTATAATATGCAAATCTTTCAAAATCGCATTACTCCGATCTGTGTTTCTTTTTTTTTTTTTTTTTTTTGTTTGTTCATAAAGTTAAGCGCGTTTGTAGATCTAATTTGGGGATCAAAAGATTACATTTAAATTGTAATTAATTTACGAATATATAAAAAGAGAGAGAAAAAACAGGACAGTTAAGTTTGTTTTATAGATATGAAAAATTATTAAATAATTGCGAGAATGATATTCTCGGTGAGTACTTTTAGGTAATTTTTCTTCCATGTTTATTTTTCCCTTTCGTTTTTTAATGGAAGTAAATTTTTTATCGGTAAAGTTTAAACAGGCAGAAAAAAATTAAACAGCCGAGCAAAAGACCTTTCCTTTCATGTCAAAGAGAAGTTATTTCCGAGGTTACGAAAAAATATCAATTTCAAAGCTTCAGAATGATGACGGGAGAGTTGTTTGTAAAAACAGGGTGATACGTTTTATCGTGGAAACTATCACAATGTTGACTAACTTTTCTCTTTTCGTTTTGCATATATATATATATATAAATTAATTTATTATTATTATTATTATTTTGCAATTATTAAATTAATTTAATTTCCACACAGAACATATTCTTAAACTAATTATTTATAACTCATTTTTATTGAATGGATAGCTAATCAATCTCGAATACAGAAAATAGATTACGAAAAATAGTACTAAATAATCTATATAATACATCAGCAATAAGGTTTCCAATGTTTTACTACGGATGATACGTTATTATTAAACTAGGCCACGATATCACAACTTCTATGACAGTTTCATTAAATGCATTACTTCTATCTTGCACGGCACGGTTGCACTTTCTTCTTTTTTCTCTCTATCTCTCTCTCTCTCTCAGTGTTAGTTCAATTTAATAAATATTAATACGTCTCGCATGAGAGAGAGAGAGAGAGAGAGAGAGAGATTTATGATTGAATCGATTATGCATCAATAATGCGGTTTGATTTCTTCGTAAGATAAAACTAAGTGAATTTATTATTATTTGATTTGTGATTTTTCTTAACGTTATGAAGAACCTATGGGGGGAAACTAATATTTATCGAGAAAATTAGAAATTTATGCCGAGTACGTTTCTCGGACGCTTATTTTAAGATGGTGTACGTAGAATGCAAACGAACGGGAACAGAAAAGTAATATATTTTTGCTACTACCGTAAATAAGGAAGGAAACGTAGCCTAGATTTCTTATGACCACCGCAAAACGTGCCTTAACAGCATTGCTTTGGGTATACTTTTTCTTTCACACTCACGTTAACATCTTATATAACTATAGTATACAATTGTTGTTAGATTTCATTTAATCGTTTTAAGACGTATATTAAATGTTGTATTATACAATAAA